ACTGGCCCTCCCTGGTGGTGCAGCAGGTTAAAGCACAGCACTAAGAAGCTAAAGCCACTTCAGCATGAGTTCGATCCCCTGCCCTGGAGGTGATCCACATGGTGACCTCTCCTGACCCGCCCGCTGCTCCCCTTAGTGTACTTTGTAGATTGCCTGTTCTGCTTCCCATTCTGTCTCTTGTGAATCCTCTCATCACTCCTGCACTTCCGGCCTGTACCCCAGTTCTGTATGCATAAATAAATCTTAAAGAAAATAAAAATAAAAAGGATATATTTACATCTTAAAATACCATCCAATTTAGTGAAAACAAAGCATTTAGTGGCACACTAGTAGGAGCTGCTTAACAACTACTAGTCACGTCTATGGCATCATACCTACAAATACTAAAGAAAACAGGCTTAAAAAGTGCTAATACCAAATTTTAAACAAGAAATTTGCAAAAATTTTATTACATAAAGATTTTCACTCAAAGCACACAAAATACATGGTAATCTCAAACTTGGAGACAAGTAAGTTAATAGACTTTCTCTTATAGTGCAGGCTTATAACCTCGGTGACATTTCTGGATAAAGTTAATAGTGTACGCTTTAAAAGGACTAGTCTGGTTGTGTTTCTTCTAATTTTAATTCCTCTTCATTTGCAGTAATGGCAATAGCATCATTATGTGGATTGTCTAGAATGTCTTTGTTAAATCCATTTGACTTCTCCTGTTGGTCCTCACCTGTACTAACCTCTTCTTCCTGTTGCTCCTCACCTATGTTAACCTCTTCAACTTCCTGTGCAGTAGGGGTGTTCATGAGTAAGTCTGAAAGAGAAATCATTGTTACTTCTCATGAAAAGCACCTATTCCAGTCTAGCCTGATAAACACAAGTCTCTACAAGCTTCAATCGGTAGAAATTACATCTATTATTATTTTAATTATCATCACTGTTCTTCCAAATAAAGTCATTTAAACATATCTAAAGTCTACTAAAAAAACACAAAAGAGTCTTTAAAACTACTAAAGTACGGGGATTATAACTGAAATGGAAAAAAGGCACAAAATGATGTAAAACTATTAAGGAAAAAAAGTACTAAAATATTAAGTTAAATCCATTGGACTCCTGTTGGTCCTCACCTGTATTAACCTCTTCCTCCTGTTGATCCTCATCTGTATTAACCTCATCAACTTTCTGTGCAGTAGGTGTGTTGGTGAACAAGTCTGAAAGAGAAATCATTGTTACTATTCACGAAAAGCACCTATTCCATGCTAGTCCGATAAACACAAGTCTCTTCACAAGTTTAGATCAGTAGAAATTAAATCTATTATGATCACTTTTCTTCTGAATAAAGTTCTTTCAAACATATATAAAGTCTACTAAAAAACACAAGATCTTAAAAAGTACTGAATTCAAACTTGAATCTTAGTCAAATTAACTGTTCTACTAGATAGGAGCTTTTAGATAATCAAATGCTGTTACCAACATTCTACTAGTAGATATCTAAGAGAAATGAAAACAAATGTCTGCATAGAAGTTTGTACATAAATGTTTACGGCAGTATTTAGATTAGCCAAAAATACAAACTCAGATATAGACAAACTGAAGAACAGATCAAGTGGGTATATTCATGTAATGGCGTATTATGTTGTGGTAGTTGAAAGGAAGTACCGATACCTGCCTTAACTTGAATGACACATATTAAAATTGACCACTCTTGGGGCCTCCTTGGTGACTTAGGGGTTAAGTCTCAGCACTGTGAGTCCGATCCCCAGCCAGGGAGCTAACCCATATATGGAACAGCTGATGTCTTCTGTTTTGCCCCACTGCTCTCCTTAGAAGTGAATTTCAGTAAATCCACCTGCTCTACTCCCCATTGACCCTGGTGAACACTCTCACCCCTGCACCTCTGGCCTATTATCCCATTTCTTCTACACAAAAATAAACAAAATCTGGGGGTTCTCCCTGGTGGTGCAAAGGGTTAAAGCACAGCACTAGGAAGCTAAAGTTTTTTCAGCATGAATTCTATCCACCTGCCCTGGAGGTAATCCATATGGCACAGCAGACCTAGCCTGACCAGCCTGCTGCTCCCCTCAACAGGGTACTTCATCAGTCGGCCTGTTCTGCTCCCCACTCTGTCTCTGGTGAATCCTCTCACTGCCCCTACACCTCTGGCCTGTACCCCAGTTCTGTATTCATAAATAAATACATCTTTTTTAAAAAATAAGAAAAGAAAAATCAATTACTTTTAATAATATTTCAGAAGTAACCTATAGTAAAGTTTAAGACATTTATTTCTATTGGGCAAATTTTAAAGTTGTACATTACAAATATAGGGGTCTCCCTGGTGGTGCAAGGATTTAAGTCAGCTAGAGGCAGCCACTGCAGCATGAGTTCAATCCCTGGACAGGGAGCTTACCCACATGGTGCAGCAGACCTGTCTTGCCCACTGCTCCCCATGGCAGTGTTTTTTGGTAGATCCTCCTGTCTCCAATGGATCCTCTCACCTTGTACCTCTGGCCTACACCCCAACTCTTATATGCATAAATAAAAAAAAAAAAAAAAACCTTATGTGTATGTGTGTGTGTGTGTGTGTGTATCAAAACCTAAAATAATTATTGACAGGTATACTTTGAAAGTAAGAGGAAGATATTGTCATCAACAATAGCTGGATGTTCTTGTAATTTTCCACACTGCTCTAATAAAACTCCCATTCATAAAGTCAAAACTTCATTTTAATTGAAAAAATGACAATGTAGTCACAATGACTTTCACTTGAGAATTTTACTATCATAAATGAAACTTATTTTATAGCATGTTCTCTATTACTGCAATTCTTATTTTCCCATGTCAAAAGGAAAACCTGGATTGGAAATTCAGAGACATACACAATTCTGCGCATTCAAAACTAATTTGCAATTATTTTTAACAAGGGTTTTAATAAACTTGATTGTCTAGTTTCTTAACCCATTATTTTAAAACAGCAAATTTAAGGGTTTTTTTTTTTTAAGATTTATTTACTTATGTATACAAAAACTGGGGTGTAGGGCCCTCCTTGGTGGGGCAACCGGTTAGGACGCAGCCCTGCAAGGTAGCCACAGCTACCTCAGTACAAGTTTAATCCCCACCCCTGGAGGTGATCCACATGGCGCAGGCCTCTCTTATCTCGACCACTTTTCCCCTCAGCAGTATACTTTGTCGACCTGCCTATTCTGCTCCCCACTCTTGTCTCTGGTGAATCCTCTCACTGCCCCTGCACGTCTGGCCTGTACTCAGTTCTGTATGCATAAGTCAATCAATCTTAAAAAAAAAAAAAAAAAAAAAAAAAAAAAACTGGGGTGTAAGCCAGAAGTACTGAGAGTATTCACAAGAGGCAAAGTAGGGAGCAGAACAGGCAAATGTATTGAAATACACTGCTGAGGGGAGCAGTGAGCATAACAGAAGAGGTCTATACTCCATGCAGTTTGGCTCCCTGGCAGATCAAGCTCATGTTGCAGTGGCTGGTGATAGCTTCATAGTGCTGAGACTTAACCCCTGGCACAACCAGATTTGGAATTCATTTTAAATTAAAATAATCTTTAAAGAGGTACTCAGCTATTGAGAAAACCATCTTGGATTCATTTATTCTTTGAGAATTCCAAATAGCTAACACACACACACAATCTCTCTCTCTCTCTCTCTCTCTCTCTCAATATACATAAACTTAATATATCACATTTTTCCATTCCTAGAGGTTATTTTATTTTGGGGGATAGAAGAGAAGTTAAAATTTCTAACATGCCCTTGATATATTAATGGTAGCACATAAAACCCAGAATAAATTACCATTTCCTAGGGACTGGCTATTACTCAGTAGCTTCGCCTGCCTTCTTTCCAAGGCCAGTTGTTTATTTCTCTCAATTCTTTGTTGCTGCTCTTCTGTTAGACTTCTACTTGACTCGGAAGCAAACTGCTCACTTTGAAATGAGTTTGTCAAAAAGGGTTCTAATTCAGTAGTAGTTGTTACATCATGGCCAGTATTTTCCTCTATTTCATCTGCAGTAGAAAAGAAAAATTAGTATATATGTAGGATTAAACTATTAAAAAAGAGATTACATAGCTATTAATTGAAAAGCAGTGTAACTGCAAGGTGCCAGGTCTTAAAATATAATTTGTAAGGTATGAAAATATATATGCTTAATTCAAAAAAGTGAAATGCATCACCATAAAGAGGCATTAAGTCAAATAGAGATAGCAGCTTAAAAATAAGCATAGAGAGCTGCCCACATCCAAGTGTCAGAGCATTCTTCCAATTGTAATAGTTGTCCCCTACATCCTTCCCCCTTTCCTTTAGTAATCCTATCGAATCAGATCTGTGCTATTAAAAGAAAAGATATGAATGGAAAATAAAACTTAATTATTAGAAATACTTTATGCTTGGGTTAATAAAAGAACTTAAAGACTCCAAAGCATATTCTTGTTTTACATTAAACAAACACATTATATGAACCTGTCAGTGTCGATGTGATATACAGTAATAATTTTAAATGGGCTATTTTTTTAGTAGGGTAAAACCATGCAAATAAGGAAAAGAAATTCAGATCTCTGGACATATTTCCAAGTTAATTAGGGAAAAAACCAACAACTCATTTCTCTCTATATTATTAGCCTTAATAAATTCTTAAAAGCCCTATATATATTATCATGTCATCTAAAAGTAGGATATCCCTAAAATGATTCACAGTGGTATGGAAAATAAACATTCGATTTTTCATTTATATTTCATTAAGAAATAAGAAAGATTAAGTTTTAATAACACACATTTAAAATAAAGACTAGCAATGAGAAATTATCACTTATCCATTTGACAAGAGTTCTGGTTTGTAAAGCAGCTCCATGCTGCCAAGTGGGTCATTTTTCAACTTCAGCATATAATGATATGATGTTTCTGATAGCTCAATTAAACAAAATGAGAGACTATCTAGGTTTAACCAAACAACCCCAATAAAATGTATAAGTGGTAACAAGATTTTTTAAAAGAACTGAGAAAATAGAAAAGCTGATACTCCCCTTCCTTTTCTATATAAGCATTCAAACTGTCAAATACACCACTTGAAATATTACTTTGTACTTATTATCCTCTTGGAATTTATCTACTGTGCCTTGAGGTATTAGCTAGTAATAGTAAATATCATGACTGTGTAAACATATAAGACATGAAGACAAACCTTTACACTTACTTCAGTGAGTCTGAAAAATCATGTTATATTTCATCAAGTCTTTTACAATCCAACCCCCATTTAAAGTTTCTTCCTTACTAGTGAAAGACAAAAAAAAATACTTTGCCTTCCTGACATGAAAAAAAAATGTAACAAGAAACTAAATACATTCCTGTCAGAAAAACTGATGCAAAATGTAGTTTCTAATAATGCTTCATATCTTTGAAAGATATCTTCAATAATAAACAACTTATTTAATACAGACAGTGTTTTATGGAAAAACAAGGTGGATATATATATAACCACCAATGGAGTTTTAAATAGGATAAAAGTGGGATTAAATATAAAATCAGAACCACACATGAAATTCACTCACTGCAAAATTCATAAGCAGATTATTGTAGCAAAGAAACTAAAACTAGAAATATTTATTGTGTTACAGGAAGCCAGTGCTGTGACACATGCAAACAGATAAGCAAACTTATATAGTAATTAAGGGGAAGTAAGTACTGTGGGAAAAAAAAAAAGTGGGGCAAGCAGGAATGGGAGATGAAATTTTAACAATGTGGCTGAGGAATCTCACTTCACTAAGTTGACATTCCAACACAGTTTGAAGGAATCAGAGTTAAACATGCAGATTTGGGGCAAGAGAGAATTCAGGACAGTGTTCTAGGCAGAATACAATAACCTTAAGATTGAAATGTGCCTGGAATGTTTAAGGAGCAGGTAAGTGGTAAGGTAGCTAATGTGCAAGACTGAGGAATAGTAAAAGACAGAGGCAAGGGAGGTGGTACCACTCAGGGGCAGACCCTATAGGTCCAGTTCAATAATACACGTATTTGAAAAATAAATAAATAAAATGCTTAAGACATTTTTACTGTTGTGGTGCTGATCCAAAAAAGTTTGGAAGCTATTCTTTTGAACACTGGGAAAACAGATTCAACAACAATCAAAGTTCTCTGATATAGGCTTCCTCTATATATCCTAATTTTAGCAAGCTTAGAATGGTTCCTATTCCTTTATGCCTCCACACAGTGGCTTCCCTATCCAAAAACTCACTGCCTGACCTCTACTGCTTACCATTAAAGCGTTCCTAGAACCTCCTCTACCAAGCTTTCCCCTTCCCTAGTAAAGATAATTATGTATTCCTTTGTACTCTGTTCCCTCAAATCTCTAATTACAGCACCTGCTGGACCACTGGCAATGTTGTATGCTCTTGAAGCAAGGGGTCTGATCTTATTCCATCTTTAAAAGTGACCCTTCAGCATAGAAAACAGCTCAAAAAGTGCACTGAATTAACTAACCAACTCAGGGGTACATGCTGTGGGATTTAGTATCATAATTTTCTTTTCCATATACCAAACCCCATGCCTTTGGTAACTACCGTATTACCAAAAAATTAAACTTTGTATTATTTAAATTATAATCTTCACACTTTTAGAAGTAATTATATGTAACTTTTGGGGATTCTATATAGAGTCTATTTTCAACATCTGCTGAAAGCTCTAAAAACACAAACAAACATGTATGGAGCCATCGCACAGAAAATCTGATAACTATACAGACCCTGTCGGCAGGAACCATGTTTTGATGTGTGTGACTGTCTATGGTTGCATTGTACAACTAACAAATGCAATCAATACCAAGACAAGTCACATAGGTCTTTAAAGTCCTGTATCCAGTATCTGCACTCTTGAGTGAAATATAATCTGCACCATCAAAATTATTCTGCCTAGTTTTCCAAAATCACATATTTTGTGGTAACACATATATAAATCACATATTTTGTGGTACACACATATATAATCACATATTTTGTGGTACACACTATACCTTGTCATGCATTTTTTATTAATAAGCACTACAAAAGATCAATGGATCACCATCAGAGGTCTCAAAAGCTCATGTTCTGTGGTTAAATATTTTTACAACACCTCTTAATGGCAGTGCAACAGTGTCTTCAAGAAATAATTATCATATGCAATATTCTAGACTGGTCATAACATTTCAACGCATTCCTATTTACTTCAACAAAACTGTTACGTACTATAGACAGACCAAGAACCCAATCTGCAATACTGTCTACCCCAACTCAATCCATTTCTAATAGCAAAATTATTACAAGTAAACCTACATTCTTACCATTATTGCTAACAAAATCTTCATGTAAAATAGGAAGATCAAGTCGAATTCGTTTTAAACAGGTCTGAAAATAAAGAGATATTTTTACACTTTTATCAATAACATTTGGGAGAAATGGCATTTTATTCAATTCTTGGTTTTAAAAAAGTTGTTCTTCAAACAACTACTCTTAATTTTCCTTCTCTCTACCAAGATGTTTCAAAATGAAGACCCCAAACAGCTTACCAAAACTAAGCTATTACTATCCTTGTACTATTTAACATTGTGAACTAGCTACAATAATCTCACCACCTACCTGAATTTCCTTTTTATTTCCTAGGTATTCAACTCTGTCAATAAAATCTTCAAATTGCAGTTTAGGGAATAGCCTATGTGCCCAGTGCTCCATGTGTCTGATTAGCGTCTTCAAGTCTTCAGCCTGGTATATAAAAATAAAAATGCTAAACAGAAGACTCATTCTCACAACTGACCTTGTCAGCAAATTTTAGAATTGAATAGTAATGCCAAAGTCATTGGTGTCATTTCATAGTTATAAGGTTAAGAAACTTTTAGAAAGAACTTTTAAGAAAAATGTTTACTATGGGCTTAAAGAATGGCGATCTAAAAAAGCCACTGGATATAGATTTGTTAAGTCAGAAAAAAAATCTTTATAAACTCTAAGTAATATAAACAGACCTGTATCTTTTACAGAACTATAAGAATAACCTGAAAATAATTTTAAATTTTACATTATTACAAAATAATTTTATATTTTACATTATTGTGTAGTCCCCATAAAATTCCCACCACCATTCACCTGTAAACCATCACCATACTCCCTTGTTCATTTCTCTCCTGTTTAGATCCCTTTTCCTCACCCTCCCTCACAGAACGTCTGATTTATGGCTGTTAAAAATAAATTTTAATGAATATGTTAAGATATCTTTTAGAAATAAGGAACCACAGTAACAGGTCCCCAAACCATATATAGAAAAGCAATGACAAATTCAGCATTACGAAAATAAAATCAGAAATCCTAAGAGCAAAATGCCAAAGACCAACAAGAACACTTAGGCATTATTCAGTCCACAATACCTGTCTCTACTTGAAATCTCAATTTAACATTATGATTTTTTAAATCATAATGAAAAACAGAGTTAATAATCTTGACTAGTGAATGACCAAAGTTCCAAATTCCTGGTTTTACTGTAAAATATTTTATTCCTCTCTTAACAGTATTTTCAAATAAGAGTGATTAAAAGCACAGACTCCAGCTCAGATGGCACAAATTCAAATTCTCAATTGTACCATTTAACAGCTGTGTGACTTTAAACAAATCACTTTACTTTTTGAACCTTTTACTTCATGTATAAATGAGAATAGACAAACTTCGAAGGTTTTTGCAAGGATTATGTAAGACAAGTAAAGTGCCCTTCATAAAGCAAGCACTGAAACAAATGTTAGCTATTGTTACCTGATCTTGCAGAAACCAATGGTTAAGACAATACAACTCTACCAATAACTAACCATGAAATACCGAGAACTTAATATATATTGTTACCATTCTCATTCTTATAATAAAGGTAAAAGTTCTTTTAAAAATCAGGTCACCGCCAGGGGAGAAAATAATAACAATAATGAACAATTATACAGCAGAGACATTTTATTAGGGTGAAATGGGGAATGGGATCAAAAATGGGGGTGAGAGAAGTGCACTGGACTATGGTGATGGCACACAGGTGATCTGGTGATGGGAAGCCCACGGGATTACCACAGAGATGGGAAAAGGCACAAAATGAAAAAAATAAACTATTATTTAAAAAAAAAAAATCAGGTCACTGGGCCCTCCCTGGTGGCATAGTGTGTTAAAGTGCAGCACTATAAAACTAGCCACAGCCACTGCATCATGAGTTTGATCCCCAGCCAAGGGAGGTGACCCACATAGCACAGCAGATCTCTCCTGCCTCGTCCGCTGCTCCCTCAGCAGTGCACTTTCTCAATCTGCCTGTTCTGCTCTCCACTCTCCCAATGGTGAATCCTCTCACCCCCATACCACTGGCCTATATCCCAGTTCTTGTATGCATAAATGAAAAATCTTTAAAAAAAAAAAATTCAGCCACCTAAAATCACTTCCCAATTGTTGAGGATAGCTGTCAGTTACCTCAAATGTCAACTTACACATAAAAAGAAAAATACCTAAATAGAGTGGGTAGCCCCAACTCATGCAGAAGAAGAAAGTATAGAGATGCTTTGTGAAAAAAGCAAGAATTTCCAAAGGTAAAGTAAGAAGACTAAATAGCATAAATTATCTCAGAGCTATCGCACCCAGCAAAGAAGCATAAGATTCATCCCCCATTTATGGTTATTTACTTATTTTAATAAAGGTCTTATCATGAAAATGATCAAGACTTTATGAATTCAAAGCACCAATTCACCATTTCTATTTGACAATTTCAACAAAGGCAATGAATTAACTGAGCTGGGTTGGTTTTAAAACATCCTGATTTACATTTAGATTTGTAGCAAAGTAGGACAGACTTATAGTCTCTCTTCCTATCTACTGAAGGTAAGCAAATGTGCCATAATTTTTCAGCCTCCTAGGTTTAAAACTTTAGGATATTTTTTATGTTTCTGGTCCTCGAAAATCATTTATAAGTTTTATGTTGTTCATCTCTCTAGCATTTCCCCAACCAGGCTATTTTCACCTCATTCTACAAGTAGTGCTAGAGTCTTTGAACAGTAACCTGCCTCTAGCCTCTTTCCTCTTTCCAAATATCCTATATACCACATCAAGACGAGCCCACTGCTATACAAACATTATTATAGCTGGATCATGAAAACCGAAATCTAACCGTTGCCCTTAACTATTGTCAGAAATATGTAAAACTCTAAAATTCAGTTTCCTTAACTAGATAATGGGACCAACATCTACTTGATTAAGAATTAAAAACTATATTTGAAAACACCTCATGAGCTACAAAATTCGATAAAAATATATCTGCAGAAAAATTATATCTACATCTGACATGATTCAAAGAGAATTTTTAAATGTACATTTGTACAGTGATTGACAATTATTACAGTGTTTGTTTACCATAAACTATAACTGTGTTGTATCTTAGGATTACATACAGGTAAAATGCTTAACACAAGTAAAGTCCGTACTCTCATGAAACTTAAAATTATTGAGAGACAAATTTTAATCCTCAAAATTATAAAATACAAGCTCTGGCACAGCAATTCAGATATAGTTTTCCTAAAGTTACACAATGGCCAAAAAATGAGGTGGGTAAGACTCTTTTATGATTCTTGAAACAATGACCTTCTTACTATATCTCTGGTCCATAAGAGATGATGATGCAGACAGCATATGGTCCCAAGAACATAATGAAGTCCAGTTTTATAGATAATTTAAAATCAAAGGTCTAGAATAAATACCAGATATTTCTTACCTCATGTCCTTTACCTTTGAATTTTGCCTTATCAAACACATGCCTTAATGCTGGCAGTCCTCTCTCTGAAATTAATCTGTAGAGAGAAATGTTTTGAATTTCAAATTTTCTATAGTCATCAAATCAAGCCAAAACCCTAAGAAAGTGTATTTTCTGTTGAATTGGAAAAAAAAGTGTGTCTGCAAATCATCTCAACCAAAAGCTTTTAACACAAAAAGGAAATGGCTGTTAAGAAAATGCTAATTATATAAGGAAATGGTAGAAGTACCTCTGAGCATCCAGTTTGGGTATATTCCTTTTAACTGTTCTCTTTGGAGGTACAGGAACAGGTGCTCCTCTTCCTGACTCTAGTAAAATACACCAAGATTTACTAAAGTAATTTAAGCCTCATTTGTAAAATGCAGCATTTCTAATCTGATAGATGGATAATTGCACATAGACACAGACACTTTTTTGAAACTCTATTGACCTTTATCTGGTTCAGTTTCTTCACCATTTTCTCTCTCAGCCGGAGGCGGAAAAGGAGCAAAGGTTTCATCTTCTGTGTGTTCATAATCTGGGAGATCAATCAAGGCCTCCTGCTGTTGCTCCATCTTTTCCTCTAAGGGGGAAAAAAAAGTAAATGTGTATTCAGCCAAGTAGTCTTTCTATTACAAGTTCCACCGCAGCAAAATTTGTTTCAATTAATTAAACAGTATTTCAAACTCATACATCATGAAAAGTAGAGAAGACTAATAGTTACAGAAAAAAATAACTGGTCTAGAAATCAGTTCTATTGTAGACCCTACCATTAAATAATCATGATTTTGAGAAAATCATTTTACCTCAACTGTTTAGTTTACCAAATCATAAAATGACAATTTGGACTTTTAATGGATTAAATAGGCAAGGAATGGGTATTCACCACCTTACCACCCCACACTTGAACTAGAGCGACTTTTAAAAATCTGTTTACATATTGGTAAATTTTCCGTTGAAAAGAGAAATAATCCTCAGATTGATAATTTGAAAGAATGCTTTTTCAAGTACCATCTTACCTGAACTTTCAGCAATATCTGACACTTTTATCAATTTTTTTTTCTGGAAAAGTTTTTTCATTGACTTCCAAACTACTCACCTGGCCTTCCTTACATTCTGGATGCTCCTCCTGGGCTGCCTGCAGATTCCTCTTTTTCTACCCTGATCATGAAGTATCTAAGAGTCCATCCCCTGGTCCCTCCTTCCCTTACTCATGTGGCTTTTCTTTGTACATGGCTTAAGAAATCAGTTATTTATAGCTGACTCACTTTTTAAAGGCTTTTAAAAACTTTTTTGTTGTTGTTGTCGTCACATAGAAGAACTGCAATGTCAGCAAGAGGTAAGGTGGGGAGAGAGTTAGAGAATTCACCAGAGACAGAGTGGAGAACAGAACAGGAAGATTTACTGAAATGCACAGCTAATGGAACAGCAAGTAAGATAGGTCTGCTGTGCTGTATGTGGGTAGCTCCCTAGCAGGGATCAAACTGAGGACACAGCGATAATATTGAGATTGATTTATTTTTAACTCCACCCTAAGCATCAAGTGTGAGCCCCAGACCCCTACTTTCCACTTCAGAACTCTTAAATTTTTCAATGATATTTATATCATGTACAACACTGAACTTCTCAATTTTCCAATTTAGTGAATAATGTCTATGCACCCTTCTAGTCCATCTTGTTTGCTAAGTATCCCTAGAATCTGAACAAACACTTGCCAATATTTCTTACTTGGATTACTCCATTCCATCTATCCCAATCTACTGCATACATTACTCCACTTCTATCTACTTTTGCCTGTCAATCCACTGTATGCATTCAACTGGAATGAACCTTTGAAAATATAAAGCTATAAAGCTAACTGCATTTTTACCTGACTTAAATATTTCAGTGATTTCCTACTGCTCTCAGAATACAAACGTCCCCCACTTTTCAAAAGGTTGTGTCAAGCCACTTTACTTTTACAGAAGTCTAATGTTAAGTACTTCTTTTCACCAAAGAAATCCAAAGGTAATTTTCACTTTCACAAAAAGGTAAAAATGGTACCTGTTTTGCAGGGAACCAGTATACAATCAGCATGCACCAAGAGCAGCAAAAGTGGCATGACAAGCTCCTACCTAGGACAACATTATACAGGCTACATATTTATTTTATCATTATTGCTTTTATTATATGTTAGTATTGTGTTATTTGGAATGTTTTGGTTTTACTTTTTGGGTTTGGAAACATTCCAAAAATGTTCCATGTAAACTAATGGCAACTGCTTCTTCATTTTACACCACTTCCATTAAAAAATTTCTGACAGGGCCTCCCTAGTGGCACAGGGATTAAGTCTCAACACTATGAAGCTGTCGCCAGACACTGCAGCACCAGTTCTATCCCTGGCCAGGTAGCTGACTCAAAGGTGCAGCAGCCCTCTCCTATCTTAACATGGCTCCACTCAGCAAAGTATTTCAATAGATCAGCCTATTCTGTTCCTACTCTTGTCTCTGGTGAATCCTCTATCCCCCTGCACCTCTGTCCTACACCCAGTTCTTGCATGCATAAAAATAAATCTTTAAAAGAAAAAAATGCTGGGACCTCTCTGGTGGTACAAGGGCTTGAAGCACAACTTGATGAAGCTAGTTAATGCAGCTAGCTGTAGCCACTGCAGCACGAGTTCAATCCCCATCAGGGAGGTGACCCACATGGCACAGCAGACCACTCCTGAATCGCCCGCTGCTCCCCTCAGCAGTGTTCTGCTCCTCACTCTGTCTCCGGTGAATCTTCTCACCGTCCCTGCACCTCTGGCCTGTACCCCACGTTCTGTATGCAGAAAAAAAAAAAATTAAAAAAAAAAGCCACTGATGAAATTCCCTTAACTTCCTCCTCTAATCCTCAAACTCCCAGGAGTTAAGGACAAGTTTATGCTCAAACAGTCCATCCCTTGACCCTTGGGTATCCAATGGCCCACGTTTGGCAAGTTATCAAAACAGAAAGCCCTCAGTCTCAAGTGGGGAAATCCAGTCAGACTGCCTGGATGTCCCCCCGTGGCTGCCAAATCCTAAAAAAAAACGGCCTTTCCAGCTCGCTCGCCAGCCTTCTCAACCCTGCGCCCCCTTCTGGTTCCTCTCACTTCATTCCTCTCACTTCATTCACTTCATACACGGCAGGCTTTCGCAGTCGGTGACGTACCAAGATATACCTGGGACACGCTCCCTCCCGCTGAAAGGCTCGGTTTAGCGACACACAAGCCCGAAAAATAAACGGGAATAAACGTGCCCGCCCTCTTCCCCAGCAGCTTTCGCGCCCCGCGGTCGAGGCCGCCCAGGCCTTCCAGGCTCCGGTCGCTCCCAGCCTAGGTCCTGCTCGATCCGGTCCTCCCGCCTCTCAGCGACTCTCCGGTCCGGCACCCACGCGCCTCCCTCCGTCCGACTCCCCCAACTTCCTATGCCCTCAAGAGCCTCATTATGGCAGTTCTCACCTCACGCAGAACGCAGCGGGCAAAGTGTGTAGCCGGTCGCCACCGAAAAACCTCGCAGATCGCGAGACTCTGGCGTTGCCGCTGCAAGAGCGCCACGGCGTTTGGCGCCAAATCTGCGCTCGCAGGGGCGGTGCCTGCCGAGCCCGCCTCCTAGGACACACCCACTCAGGTCCCGCCCAACCAGGCCTCGCCCCTGAGTCCCGCCCATCCCGCCTCTCCCTTCCGGGCCGCTACTGCTCCCCGGAATTCCTCAGGGGAATGAAATCTCCCCTTCCCGAATTCCTCAGGGGAGTGAAATCTCCTTATTTGCTTACGTTTCCTATTTGTTGCTCTGTAGGCACTTGAAACTTTATAAATAGGTCCCTGTTTTTAGAAAACTGAATTGTGGGTGGAATATAAAGGATCGAGACAAACAATATATGATGAGAAACTGTCGGTTCTTCAGTTGCTAACGATGAGTCTGATTGTTGAGTCATGGGGTGAGAAATGAATGTTGGAGCGTAGATACAAAGAATGTAAAATATGTGCTTAATTTTTTCAATCTTTTTAAAAATTTTATTTATATAAATTAAACTGTTCTATTTATAAATAAATAGAACTGTGGTACAGGCCAGAGGTGCAGGGGCTGTGAGAAACAGAGTGAGGAACAGAATTGGCAGGTAGAGGAAATACACTGCTGAAGGGAGCAGCCGGTGAGACAGGAGAGGTCTGTCAAGCTATGTGGGTCGCCTCCCAGGCTAGGGATCGAACTCTTGCTGAAGCGGCTGCAGCTTCGGATAGCTTAGTGCTGCACCCTAACCCATTACGCCACCACGTATGGCCCGTGCTTAATTTTTTTTAAGTGACTCAAATATATTTCTATTTGCTTGTACACAAACACACACACACATACAAAACTGCGGGGAAGTAAGTAAATAATACCTCTGGTGTTGGGAACTCAAGATAGGGATATAATGGAACAAAGAATTAACTCTACTGTTTTAGAACATGTAAATATATAAACTAAGAAACTAAAAAAGGTTATCTGCAGCAAATATAGCAAGATTTGACAAACCTGAAATTTACATCATGTTATAATGCAATGCTACTCAACAACAACAAAAACAAGCCAGCTAAAGTAATGTTTGCAACATTATCTTTTTTTTTGTAGCTTGAAATACCTTATTGAAACTAAAAAAGAATAAATCAAGCTTCAGCAAAGTATAGGATAAAATAAATTGCAAGATCTGTTACCTAAAATTATGTATGTAAATATCAACATTTCCCTTCATTTTATAAGTTTTACTTCTATACATGCAAAACACATATGTTAAATTATTAACCACTAATTTGAAGAGGAAATATGTCAACCTCAATGGCCTGAAAAATGGAAGAAGCATCCTTCTTACTATCCAGATAGCAGTCTATATTCTCAGGTTTTATATAATAATGTAAATGTAAAGGCACTTTGCGAAATTAAAATTATGCTCCCTCCCCCCAAAAATACTCAAAGCAGCAGCTCTCAGGGTTTGAATCTCAGTTCCATCATTCATTCTTTGGTGACCTTGACTGTACTTCTCTTTCTCATTAATAAAAGTACCTACTTTGTAGGATTATGAAAAGGACTAAATGACATTTAATAAACATTACCTATTATCACCATAAAATTTTTAGAATGTTTGACCCTGTTAGGAAATATAAAGACTTTGGTAGGTAAATTATTTGTGAACCTCTATGACTATAACTACCACAGTCCTGAGGTACTTATTATTGTCAAAAACTAATGGCCTCTTTTTATCACATGAGGAATACTAGAACACCTTAGCAATTTCACCAGAGACATAAAGAAGAACATTCCTATATACCATGTCATTAAAACTCTTTTAAAACAGTTTAATGTTTTTAAAAATGAATAATGTAAAGAAGAAAATAGACTATGAATATGGAGTATAAAAGTTTTTCTGGAAAATAGTGAACATAGTCCAGAGATAAGGCTTGAAACAAAAGAAATGGGATAAATCTTTCAAAACGAAAAGACCATGAACCATATCCCACATTAAAAATGATAAAGTCGGCCCTCCCTGGTGAAGCAGTGGGGTAAAGCACAGTACTAAAAAATGATCAAGTCAGCCCTCCTTCATGGCGCAATGGGTTAGAAGGCAGCACTGCAAGCTGGCCACAGCCTCAGTGGGAGTTCGATCCCCTGCCCCAGAGGAGAGGAGTGGCAGACCTCTCCTGACCCACCTGCTACCCCTCAGCAGTGTACTTTCTCATTCCGCCTGTTCTGCTCCCCACTCTGTCTCTGGTGAATCTTCTCACTGCCGCTGGACCTCTGGCCTGAACCCCAGTTTTGTATGCATAAATAAATAAATCTTTAAAAAAAAAGATCAAATTCTCCGAGTGTTGTTGTTAGGTGTTATTTGGGTACAGGGAGGGCTGGTGGTAGTGGCCTGCTGTGTACTTGATAATCAAGGTCATGATATCCTGCCTGATCATAACATGTCCCACTTAATATTTTCTCATCCAGCCCAATCTACATTAGTATTGACCAATCAAGAGTCCAGATTCTGAGTTAAGATCTGATTCCATCACAATATTTTATTTTAGAAAACTAAAATATTAAAAAACAAGAAAGTAAGTTTATTTGTCTCTCTCTTGTAAATCTTTCATGTACAAGAAGTTTGGACTAAGTCCACAGTTGGGACGGTACTCCACTGTCTTAGGAATCCAGTCTCCTGTCTTATTGCTTTGCCACACAAGCATTCCATTCTCAAATTCACCTCATTGTCTAAGATAACTTCTAGAGTTTTTTTTTTTTTTTAAAAAGACTTATTTATTTAGGCCCTCCCTGGTTATGCAACAGGTTAAAGCACAGCACTACGAAGCTAGACCCAGCTGCTTCAGCATAAGTTAGATCCTCTGTCAGGGAGGTAACCCACATAGTGCAGCAGACCTCTCCTGTCTTTCCCA